CCACTCTGTCTCTGGTGAATCCTCTCACTGCCTCTACACGTCTGGCCTGTCCCCCAGTTCTGTATGCATAAATAAATCAATCTTTAAATAAAAAATAAAGGTTTGGGCCTTCTGTGGTTGCACAGCAGGTTAAGGAACAGCACTGAGAAACTAAAGCCACTTCAGTATGAGTTTGATGCCCCTCCCCCCAAGAGAGGACCCATATGGCATGGCAGACCTCTCCTGACCTGCCCACTGCTCCCCTCAGCAGTGTACTTTGTTGATCTGCCTGTTTTGCTCTCCACTCTGTTTCTGGTGAATCCTCTCACTGCCCCTGCACCTCTGGCCTATACCCCAGTTCTGTATGCATAAATAAATAAATCTTTTAAAAAATATATTTAAAATGTGCAAAATGGTGTAAAAATAAACTTTGTAATAAAAAAATAAATAAAATAAAATTTAAAAAAAACAATAAAAAATATATTTACTTCCAAATCTATTAAGAGATTATTTTTTATTTAAAAACACCCATTCTGTTTTCTAATTCTACATACATGTCAGCCCTAAAGTAGTCCTATGGAAGTATTGTTTATATCACTGACTCAGCATTTATTATATTTTCTTCATTAGAACATCATGCCCCTCCCTCCAGGCCAGATAATAGTGGCTTGAAGAACAAAGAGCCATTCTTTCCTCTTTGCACATGATAAATATTGATTTTTTTCATTCCACCGTAATGCCTGTTCTGAAAAAGTGCCAAGCACTGTTCCAGATAGGCATTGAGGAAAATTTAATAAAATATGATTCTTGTTCCCAAGTAACTCACCATAGTAGACCAATGAAATGTAATTTCAATAGTGTGTAATAAATATAACAATAAAGGATGGAGTATTCAAGTATGCTTGATGGCTCATGAAGTCATTTTTCAGAAGAAATATCAACTGGGTCTTGAAAGATGAGTAATACTTCCCCCAGATGGAACCAAAAAAATGACACCAGATGAATCCTTGGTTATATTTTATGCATATATGATGAAATTCTTGTATTACAGTCTTGATTTATTATACTGAAGCAAGTAGACACCCCTGATATCAGTTATGTGAGGTATAAATTTCTTCAATTTTCCCTTCCCAACAGTGATCAAATCTACTCCATATATATTATCATATATATACAAATATATATATTATCTCCTCCTTTTTCTTGAATCTATTCATTTCCCTGTTGCACTAACTTCACCTAGCCCCAGCTATTACCTACCTGCACCCCTATTATCTCCCTGTACCATGCAACAGACCCCTGACTAATTCTCTTACATTTACTATTCCCCTCCTCCTAATCATTCTTCAAACTGTAGTTAAAATGACTGGTTAAAAATAATTATGCTTTTTCAAGGAGAAGTAGTCATCTTTGGGAGGGCAGCCTGATATAAGTTGGCACTTGAGTAAAGTGAGTGGACCATAGAGGAGCAGGCCTACAAGATATAGGAGCCAAGTCACAGAGAGGGTGGTTACTTACAGAGGAACTGGACATTAGGTAAATATATATCAAAGATAACAGGAGCCAGGAGCATATGTAGCACCTGCACCTTGTTACCTAAATACCAGCTTCTAAAAAGAACTAGGACTTCTCTTAGTAATGGACAATGTCAGGGCTGAGGCAGGAAAAGTAGTGGATGAGTCTGGAACACCTAAAGTGAAGTAAGATAAGCATACTCAAAAAATAAGGAGTTTTGTCAAAAGGACACAAACCAATTTGAAAGAATTGCAAATGGTTAAATCTAAAACAATTTAAACATCTAAATGAATGGTAGCAATTGATTCTAACCCTTTCAATAAAACAACAGCCCACACAATAGAAATTGGTAAATAAAAAGTATAATAAGAAGTAAGAAATTTATAGATTTAAAATACCTCTTCATAAAACATTTCTTAATTATGAAGAAGATGTAAATTTACATTGAAAGGTCTTTTATGAAACAGTGTAAATTAACAACCAATAAGAGGGTTATTTGGAGACACCTGATACCATCCAATGAAAAGAACGTAGTCACTTCTATTATATTCCTGCCAGAGTTTCAAAACTTAAATCTAATCATGAAGAAAAAAAGCCAGAGAGATATCTAAAAAATATGTGACTGATATTCCTCTCAGTTGTCAAAGTCTTGAAAAATCAAAGAAAAACTGATAAAGCATTTCTCACTGAAGGCACCTTCAGAGTTAGAACTAAATAAAAAGTAGGTCAGCAATGGATCCTACAAAGACATTGCCACAATTGGCAAAACCTGAATATCATCTGGGGCTTAATGGTAATTCTGTATTGATGCTAGTTAAATCTACCTAGGAGAATGTCTTCCTTTGCTATAAGAAAAAATATACAGGGGGGACAATGGGAAAATAAGTAAGTAACTCAAATGATTAAGGAAAATGGAGCTATTTGCTATACTTTTTTTTTATAATTTTGAGGTTGTTTCTGAATTTTTTAAGTAAAACAATAAAGATAATAGAATGACATTCACTTCTGAAAGCTCTTCCATGATTTCTTGTTGCTCCTAGGAAAGAGATCAAAAACCTGTATAAACTATGAACTGAAATGAGCTATTGTTATCCTTTGTTTACTTCTCCAGTAATATCTTGTACACTTTCTCTTTCAGGCTCATTTCTTTCAGGTTCACTGCATTGTGGTCTTCTTGTTCCTAACAAACCATGTTCTTTGAAGGACAAAGAAGCACTTATTCCTTCTGCCTAAAACGTTCTTCAATTCCTTTTCCATATACATTAAATTTATTATTTATTTATTTATTGTAAATAAAGGTTACCTTTCCCAAACCTTTGCTCCCCAGAAAGTAGGTCAGTTCTCTAGTATTCATTCTTACATTACTGTAACTTATAATTAGAGATTTGTTTCAACAATTGACTGATGTAACCCCATTACCCTATTTCAGAGCAGATCTTTGTTTCAGCTCAGCATGGGTTCCCCAGGATGTTACCCAGGGAACAATACAAAATTTTGATGAAAAAATCAACTGTTTAACATCAATCCATGTACCCACCCCCTGACTCTGCCCCTCTCTCCTAAATCTGCAGCCTTCCTCTCTTTTTTTGGCCCATAATCAGCTTGTAAACACGTTCAAGTCTTCTAAATCAAAAACATTCCCTCTCTTTAATCTGCATCCTGCATGAGTTGCACTATTGTTTCCATCCTTACCACCCACCAAAATTGTGCTTGGTGATAACTTCCTGTCATATTCAGTTAATAAGTTTTAGCCAATACCTCACTTGAAGTACTGTTAATCTCCTTAATGTTTATTCTACTTATTTCTGATCATCTGCTTTTTACTCTTCTTTTTCAGTCCACTTCTCAAATTAATTTGCTTCATTCAAAAAATATTTACTACCTACCATATATCTGGAACCCCTGATCTTGTTATTCTGCACTCTTTCTCTGGGTGATCTTATTCATCTTATTCAAATGAGTCTGAATACTACAGATTAATTGATAATTCTCTATTTTGTTCTTCCTTTATTTGGAGTAATAAAGGAGCCTAGAAATAAATATATGTAAATCAGAACCCTTATCTTTTACCTAAAAAGAGCCTCATTTAGTGAGTTGTAGTCAGGCACCTAAATCAAGTTAAACTTAAATGTGTCATTTATCATCCATATCTAACCAATCACCATTTCTTGCAAAATTTACTCTTTACATAGCATTCCTTAACTGCCTCCTTTTCTCCAGTCTTGTCTTTTATATACACACTTTCCAATACAATGGGAATGAGCTAAACTACATTTGCAGTTCTTTACTTAAAAGCTTTAAGTAAAAGATAAAGTCTATTATCTTCTTCATAGCATAAAGACCCTCTGTGATCAGGTCCCTGCTTTATTTCCCTCCCACTTTTCTGCTTTTTTCCTTTGCCTCTCAATTTACTTTCAATGTGTGTAAGGGGCTCACACCTTGTAGTGTCATAATTAACATTATCTCTGGAGCCAAGATGTTTAGGTGTGAATCCATTCTATCACATATTTATCTCTGTTTTCTCGGCTGTGAAATGAGTATAATAAATACCTTATAAGATTATTTGGAGGACTGAATTAATGTATGTGTGCTTAGTCAGTTTCTAGTACTCATAAGTAATCATCAAGCTGTTTCTCCCATTTCTCTCCTCCAATACTTTAGTTTGGCTGTGGATCCTAATCATCAAACTTTTTTACAAGCTGACACTGCATTTTACTATCCATGAGCTTTTTACCAGTTACAACTTATCTCACATTAGGTTTGATGTTATACATAGGCATCTTTTTTTAATGGTTACAAATGTAACTATTTCAATTTTTCTAGGCAAGTTGCACCAGATAAAGATGCAGTTCCTGTGCCATATCATTATATGTAAAGGTGAGCGAGGAGTATGGATAACTGCCCATTTTTTACCTTGGATGATAAGAAGTCAGGCAATGTGTGGGAGATTCAAAAATTGGTATACGAATGAAAATATTTTTATTCTTTCCAAGTTTCCTATTTCTTCTTCAATCCTTTAACCTGACGCAGCAATCAAAGTCACGTTAGTCAAGCTTCCCTTTTTTATGAAAATTTCCTAATCGACCTATACACTAACCCCACAAACCTCTATAGCCCTGCCTTCTTTTTAAGAACAGCATCACAGGGAAATTGCAAGCCTCAACCCGCCCTCTGGGTTTTTCCCGTCACCAGGGCAACGGGGGAGGGAAGGGCGGGGCTTCCTAGTCTTTCATCCCGCCCGCAGCGTGCGCTAGCCATATTAGTGCGGGGGCGCTGTCTTGGCAGCCGCCGTTTTGGGTTGGGGTTGAGTTTGGAGCGGGAGCCGGAGCCGGAGCCGGAGCCGGATTCGGATTCCCCGCGGACGGCCACGTCAACCCAAGTTCCACCGCCCTGCCCAAGCCGCCGCGCTCGCCCGTTTCGTGTTGGGGCCTTGCGGGCCCCTCGTCCACGCCTTTCCCACAATGCCCCGCGCCAGGCCCCGCCCCGGTTCCCCGTGGAGACCGGCGTCCGAGGAGCCGAGGCTAGCTGACCGCGCAGTTGTAGCCGCCCGCGCAGCTTGTTCTCCCCCATCCCGAGGTCGGCGGCAGGCGCGGGGAGAGTGCGTGCTTCCCTGCAGCACGCACAGCTTGCACTCATCCGGGCGGAGGCCGCCGCCGGCGACGGAGGATGGGGGAGTAGCTGCAGGCGGCGACCCTGCAACGACGAGGTGGGCACGGGCCCCGAGGTCGGGGGTCGGGAGTCCACTGAAGCTGGCGGCGACCTGGCCCTCCAGGAAGGGAGGGGAGGAAATGCCCGAGCGTCTGAACCTTCCCGCACCCGCAGGCGGTTTATTGTGTTCTCGGCCGCCCCAACCCCCAATATATCTTCAACCCCAGTACCTACTCCACACTTCCTGCTCCCAGCGGGTCCCCGTTTCTTGCAACTATGTCTTTAACGTCAGTAACTCTGACTTTTTGCACTCCTAAACCCGGCCTGAGACTGGAGACACCACGAACACTTGATACTATCTTTCTTCAAGGTCTTTCCATCTTTTTCTCTACATCACATTCTGGAAGGACTGCAGCGAGAAAGCGTTTGCATTGCATTCACCTGCAGTTGCCCCCGGACCTTAACTGGGCACCCACCTGGTCAACCCCATCCACGCTGTCTGACAATTACCACTGGGCAAGAAATGCCGCTTTCGCCCAGAACGCGGTTGAGAATATGTTCTCTCTCTATCTGTCTCTGTCTTTTTTTTTTTTTCCTGGTCATTGTTTTCTAGACTGGTTGTTAATCCCCATCCGTGTATTTTCCAAAGGTTGGGTTTTTTGCTTAATGGCGAGGGAAGGGAAGAGAAATGAGTCAGACCGTTCTCAGGTGAGGAGAAAGTGTTTTAAATAGCACTTAGGGCTAAATGGGGAAAGAGACAAGTTACTAGGAAGATTAGCTTTTTCAAAATATTAGGAGATACTTGAAACTAGTGTACAAATTTAAATGTGATGTTAGAATTGAGATCATTTTTATCCTACACCAGTGAGATGTCTATATAACGTACTCTCTTCTATTTTTTAGTTATACTAAATGCAAACTTTGCAATACAATTACACTGTTAGCTCACAATTATTCTCTGTATGTATTAATTAGGCTCTACTTAGGTGTAATGTAAGCACCTTGTGAGAAAACTGAAGGAAAAATACTACCCATTTTAATTGTCTATTTCAACCCATTTTTGGAAGGATTCTATGAAAAATACAATTCCTTTGGAAGCACTCTATGGTTCTTTCAAGTTCCCTTAAAGGTTATTGTCGGTATAATCTGATAATGAAAAGTGGATATCTTTAAAGCAGTGAAGAAGTAGCCTGAAAGGAAGCAGTATATTTTTTAAAAGGCAATGCTTAGCTGGGTAGAAAAAGGAAGGAAATAGCTTTCTCCATCCTTGTGTTCTGGTACTAATCAGAGCAAATAGTTGAGTTTGTTTTTTAAAGCGTCCTAGCTAGCCACACCACACTATTACCTTTGCCACTTGCTCTCGAGTGATTTCACAAATATAGCTATCTGGGTATGGAAGCTGTGATGGGTACCCCCCCAAAAAAACAGAACTTGGGGTGCTGGTTCACATTTGCTGATCTTGTTTGTTAATAGTATTATTGAAGAGTTGTTGGTTTTTATTTTTTAACTACCTGGTTTCTTTTCTTTAGATTAACATTTTGGGAGACACTTTTGTGACCTTTGATTCAATCTTGGAGTAATGTGGACAGAAGCTGTCAAAGTTGCATATTACATCAGCTGGAACCTGCAACGTGTCTTAATGTTCTCTTAAATTAGAATTTGTATAAGAAAAAGAATGGGAGTCTGGTTAAATAAAAACGACTATACCAGAGGCTTGAAAAGGGCCATTCTCTGTTCTGTAATAGTGTATTTGGCTGTTTTGGTGGGTACAGAGCAAGATTTTTACAGTTTACTTGGAGTATCCAAAACTGCAAGCAGCAGAGAAATAAGACAAGCTTTCAAAAAATTGGCATTGAAACTACACCCTGACAAAAACCCGGTAAGTAAAATTTTATATCTGACAAATACATTTTAATGTTTTGATAGATACTAAAATATTAAATAAATGTTCAAAATACTTAAGAATAGTAACATATCAGAACTCATAATTCATCTTCTGTAAGAAAAACAGAAGCAAAAATGTTCTGGTTTAGAAGTGTGAAAGAATTTCAGTACCAAAAATGCAGTTCTGTATTAATGACTAACCTATCATCGTTTATTAAAGATGTAATAGAGACTAGCCAGATTCAATTAATTCCAACTGTAAATATTTGATTATATAGCCAAAAATGTAATATTTGAAGATTTCACTTTCTTATATTTTTACATATAGTTCAGTCTTCTTGAGATTATTAGGGTGTTTTTATTGCAAAAGGTGAGCTATAGAGTCATTATTTCTCTAAAAATATCTTAGTTGGTAATCTTACCCTGAGACCTACATTCTATTACAGTTAGAGTTTTTATTTTTCAGATTTTATTTAAATTTTCAGAATGATTTTCCATGTGAAAATGACCGACTTAGTATTGTTTATATGAAAACAAACTTCTAAAACCTCTCTGAAAACCTCTCTAAAACCTCTCTTACAAACATTTCCAATGCAGTGTTGAGTTGATAATCTGATTTTAGTTCTTCTTTAATTACCTGATGGTTTGGATTACATTTTTTTTTAATTATGTGTTAGTTGACTTCACAAATTTTAAAAACCTATATACATTTTTTAGTAATAGTTGCAAAGTTAAAAGCTTACTTTTCTCTTTGCATTTCTTAGGATAATTTATACATTTATTACATCTATGGATTTTTGAGACATTCTCTTTTGTTATACTTTTTTTTGAAGGTTGTAGTCCTTTAAAAATATTTCAACCCATAGTAACTCATTTCATGTTGTATTTATTCCTTATCTCGGTACCCTCCCAGAACTCTCAGGATTAAATTAAATCTGCATAGTTTCTGAAGAGATGTGATTGTGTATCTGAAACAACTGTTATATCTAACATTTTTTAATAGAATAATCCCAATGCACATAGTGATTTTTTAAAAATAAATAGAGCATATGAAGTGCTCAAAGATGAAGATCTGCGGAAAAAGTATGACAAATACGGAGAGAAGGGACTTGCAGATAATCAAGAAGGAGGCCAGTATGAAAGCTGGAATTACTATCGTTATGACTTTGGTAAGCTATGTGATATTCCTTATGAAACAATTGTTTTTTGTGTGAATTTAGAAAATTTTGTTTCACATCTTAGTATGTTTCACCCTGACTTTTTTAATATGTCATGATAGCAGAATTCAAAAGGTGGTATGTAACTGTCTTGCACAATTAGGAAGGTGTTTTGTTGATAACCTTATTAAATACTTTTAAAATAGACTTGCTACTTAATTAGGATTTTTTTTTTTAAGATTTATTTATTTATTCGTACAGAACTGGGGTACAGGCCAGAGATGCGGAGGGTGAGCGGATTCACCAGAGACAGAGTGGGGTGCAGAACAGGCAGTTCTTCTTCGTCACTGCAGCAGTAACGAAGTACACTGCTGAGGGGAGCAGCGGGCGGGTCAGGAGAGGTCTACCACGCCATGTGGATCTCCTCCAGGGCAGGCAGGGATCGAACTCATGCAGAACAGGCCTAAACCTCTTTGTGCTGTGCTTTAACCCACTGCGCCACCAGGGAGGGCCCAGGAAATATTTTTATTAGAAGTTAAATATTGAACTTTTTCAGTATTTTAAAAGGATTGTACTTTTTTAAAAAAAGGCTAAAGTTTTCTTTTAAAAGGTTCAATAATAACTTCAGAAATTCTATCCTTTTTATATGGAACTCTTATTAGTGATAGCTTAAAGTACTGATAAGAAAGAAATGAGGCTAGAGCAGTGGGAGGAAGGAAGTAAAGGGAGGGGAAACTAAACAGGTATCAAGGCAAAAGGGAATGTTCAGATAAGCAATATTTTTCTTGGATATTAAGTAGACTCATAGGCTAAGAACTAAAATTTGCTTTTATGTAAGGTTAAATAAAACTAATTTATACCTGGGATGTTTGTTTCTTAAGACAGTTTATTTTCAAAATAGTAGTTTCAAGTCTGTTCTCCATACCTTGATAGTCTCTATCAGTTGTTGGCAATCTACATTTCACAGACTATATTCAATCTGCCCCAATAAATTTTTATTGAGATGCATTTGTGCTTACCTATTTGCATATTGTCTGTGGAATTTTTTTCTTTTTTGACACTTCAGCAGTAAAATGGAGTAGCTCTGACAAAAACTGTATGTCTCAAAAAGTTGAAAATATACACCAGGCCATTCAGAAGTTGGCTGAATTTAGTTCTGTATCTATCAATGGTAATATTTGGATATTTTAATAGAATGAGACATTTTCTCACATGGCTTTAATTTGCTAAATGAGCTTGTGTCTACCTGTGTAAAATTCAATTATAAAATCTTGAGCAATAGAAAATAGTTGTGTAATACAGTCTACAAAGTCTATAGTCCAGTTAACAGTAAGGTACATTTACCAGTTTCCTGGTTTTAATGTTTTTGCGAAAACTACATAATATGTCACTATTAGGAAAAGTCTAGTGAAGAGTACAGGTGAGTATACTATTATTACAACTTTCTGTAATTAGTCAAAAGATAATAATTACAGTTTTGTGGAAATGAAATTATGTGAGTACTGGGAACCCACACACATATGACAATTCATATGAGGAGCCTAATGTCTTCTGATCATTTATTAAATGTATTGTCTTGGCTTTTTGCTTAGTTTGCAGTATTTTCTTTAACTTTGAGGTTTGGTAATTTTTGATGATAAAGAATAACATTTTATGTGATCATTTAAATTTATGGTGATTTAACTTTGTTTTTTATGTACTTTTAAAATTAGGTATTTATGATGATGATCCTGAAATCATAACATTGGATAGAAGAGAATTTGGTATGTATGCATCTGACTTTTAAAACTAGGCCAAGAATATTCTCTTACATAAAATTCTTGAGGAAAAATAGATTTAGATTTAGAAATGTTTAGATTTTTAGCAAGGTAATATGACTTATACTGTATATTAAACAATGTTTTTAACAGAATGTAGGGCGTTATACTACTATTGAGAATCAATATAAGTATGTCTTTTAAATAAAAGATGTAAAACTAATACATAGCCATGTATCAGTTCAGGAGAGGTTTGGATGCCAGGTAAATTTGCTACACACTTGCAAAAAAATTCTAGTACCAGATCTTTTGAATTTCAGTTTTAGATAAGTATGTTGTTATTTTACAAAAAGATTAAGTTTAATCTGATTTACATGAAAATGGATGTAGAAAATACATATTTATCATTTTCCATTGCATTTTAGGACATGTTAAATATTGATTAGCTTCTCATTCTTTCAAATTTTGTATAGATACAATAGATTTTTTTCTTCCCTTTCTACTTCAAACCCAATATATCTAACCTGAAATCAAATTTATTTTGCTATATTTATCATTTATTTTTAAAGATTTATTTATTTATGCATACAAGAACTGGGGTACAGACCAGAAGTGTCAGGGACGAGAGGACTCACTAAAGACAGAGTGGGGTGCAGAACAGGCAGACTGACAAATACACTGAGTGGAGCAGCAGGTGGGACAGGAGAGGTCTGTGGCACAATGTGGGTCACCTCCATGGCTGTGGATTGAACTCATGCAGCAGTGGCTGTGGATAGCTTCATAGTGCTACGCTTTAACCCTTTGTACCACCAGGGAAGGCCCCTAGTCTCATTTTATTTAGGAAACTAAAGTGCATATTAGCTGACATATATGTGGATGTATATTTCTCATGTTGTTATAAGAAATTTATAACAGTTACTGATTTTGTTCAGTTTCCTTCAAAGCAAAAATTAGATTTTTTATTTTCTACGTCATGTTGGTGAGCTTAGATTACTTTGTTAAAAGTCCTACAGATAAAGATTTGGACGAGTAAAATGAATAGGAAAAATACCTTCCTTTCAAAGGAAGTGGAAGAAAGTTTGAATCATTTGGGTTACTAGCAGACAGTATACCCATTTCATAACCTGACAGAATACTAACTTTATTGCATTTAGCTATATGAAATGGTAGCTCTTCTTGTTTGGTTAATTACTACTAGTGTTTTGTGCACCATTGAGGCAGACTAGTTTGGAATTAAGAGTTAGAATTGGAGGAATAAAACAAAACCTACAAGCTCACTAATACAGAAGTCACCCAGAATCAGAGATTTTCCCTAATGGGTATATTGTACATAGATTTCAAACTTTTTCAGCTATGTCACCATGGGAAAAAAGGTTAACAACTACTGGTAGTTCATTAAGAAACCTAACTAGTAGTTTCAAATAAATTACAGCTACAAAGTCTCTGATAAAATTTTTCAGATATAATTAAGTAATACTGATGAGCTCAATTGCCATCATTCCTGGATCTTTAATACTATTCTCTGTATTACTAGGCTAAGACAGACTAATGGTGAAATTTTAATTGAAGCTAAGGGAAGATAGCAAGCACAGACAGAACTAACATTTTGTACTTACTGAAATGCCACATTAGCGTACTTGGTTGTGGGTTTTTGTTAACCAATTATTTCTGTTGGTTTGGGTTAATTACTCTTGTTTTTAGTATAACTAATTATATAAGTAATTACAGAGTAATTTTAAAGTCGTATATGTTCACTGTCCAGGGATGAATTCTGCTTTCTTCGACTAGGGTCACTAACAATCTTAGACCAGATTTATCCAAGTAGAGATGAGATGATTCAAGAGCTGGGCTTTAAACTTTGAGAGGACTGGTCACTTTCCAGTTCTTTATTTCACTGGGCCCTTCCTTAGTTCTTCCCTTAACACGTATTCCCTTAAGTTTTATTCTTCTAAACTCAAATCTTTTGAAAGCTCTGCTCAGTTCTTGCTTATCAACTTCCTTCCTTCTCTGAAATTGACAAGATTTCCATCTTCTCCCTTACCTCGACCACTTAATTCTTCTCTGCATTGGTAACACTGATTTTCAACAGAATTCTTACATATTTTATGCAGTTTTACATCTGTAATAGGAGTTAGTCCAAAGTACTCAGTTCTCTCTTAGCAGTGCTTATAATAATCAACTATAGTCTAGAAAACAAAATGTGAATAACTTCACTTTTTAAGCTTTAAAAGATTTTTTCATTCTTCCCATTCAGCATGTTGCATATCTTTTTAAATGTCACAGAAAACAATAATCATTATAAAGAAGTTATAGATTATATCTCAGAACTGATATAATCTTGTGGTTGTTAATAGTACCCACACAATACCAGCATCCTTTGGAAGACAAGCTTCACAAGTTAAAGACTAATACAAAGTACCTCTCCCCCAGGCCTTCCTGGTGGTGTAGGGGTTAAAGACACAGTGCTGTCAAACTATCTGCAGTCACTGCAATAGAGTTCAATTCCTGGCCAGGGAGATGACCCACATGGCACAGCAGACCTCTCCTGGCCCGCCCACTGCTCCCCTCGGCAGATATTTTATTTTAGCAGATCTGCCTGTTCTGCTCCCCACTCTGTCTCAGATGAATCCTCTCATCCCCTCACCTCTGGCCTTGTATGTAAGAACCTCACCCCCATTCTTGTATACATAAATATTATTTATACATACAGAACTGAAACTCCCGCAGCCACTGCAGCACGAGTTTAATTCCCAGCCAGGGAAGTAACCACGTTGCGTGGCAGACCTCTCCTCGCCTGCCCACTGCTCCCCTCAGCAGTGAATTTCAGCATAAATAAATAAATCTGTAAAAATAAAAGTACTTCTCCCCCTTTTTGGTATTTTTCTATGTTAACTGAAGAAGTTAGCTATATTTATATAGATATAAACAGACATTAGTGGTAGTTGTATATTTTAAAAGCTGAAAATTGCATCTTGAAATATATTCTTTAGAAGCATTCTAAAGAATGCTGAATGTTTGCAGAAACATGCTCTAAGTATTAGCATAATTATGTGGTTATTTACATAATAAAAGAAAAAGCATAATAGGCAAGGCTTTACTGTTCATAAGACTTAAATTATGATATACAACTGTACATCATATGCAAAGACATTCCATTTACCTTTGATAGCACAGTATTAAAAATATCTTTAACCTTAACAACAGTGGAGCTGGACACATATGTTGAAGTGTTCTATGAAAACAGTGAAAAGGTAGGAGACATTTTCACTCTAAAGATTTTGTGTAAAATATGCAGATTTGTTTAAATCATTTTTAAATATATAAATGCTATGTTTTCAGTCTGTTTAAAATTTTTAATTGGGTTATAATACTATATATACATATATATACATACATATATGTATGTATGTATGTTTTAGGGGATTTAGATTCACACCTCTTAAGATATATGTTACAAGATCACACCCACCAGCAAGGCAACCACAGTCCACTTTCAACCTCCATTAGGCCTGTTCCCCATCACATACTCTTCCTCTGATAACCTTAATTCTGGGTTTTGTTTTGGTGAATTGGGTCTCTTGTTTTCTGTCTCTGTATCCACATATGAGTGAAATCATCCAATATTTGCCTTTTTCCTTCTGAAGTATTTTGTTTGACATAATCCTATCCAGTTCCAAACTATGTTGCCCAAACAGGGAAAACTGATAGCACAAGGAGGGTGTATGTGTGTAAAAATCTGTGTCTTGTGATTGAAATATAAGTGAGCATTAAGACTTGTACATGTTTCCAGTTAACCCAAACCAGTTATGCATATTTAGACTAGTAAGTGTTTTAATGTTTTGCTATAATTTATGAAGTTCGTATTTAAAGACTACTAATCATTTTCCTTGATAAAGAGTTATATGAATATTTAAACAAGTACATTGTTTTCACTTTTTGCCTTGGATATTAGCATACATCCATATAGTGCTCGAACTTTTAAATGACTTTTGTTTACTTGCAAGTTCACCTTAAAGGTATTAATGTATAATGTATTGTTGGCTAGACATTATGTGGTGTTTAGATCTATTGTTTTAGCAGATATGTATTCACTGAATTGTTAAAAACCTGGATCTAATACTTTCCAAAAGCACAGCTTTCTAAGATAAATGTCCTAAGAGCGAAGATTTAGTTTAATCCCCACAGTCCTTACTACATCATGCAGTCTCCTATTTCATTCTTTCAGAATGTGAAGTAGCTGTCAGAATTTACATTATTTAACCTATCCTGCAGATGGCAGTAGAGCTTAAATTTCAGTCTCTCACTGTTTTGTTTTTCTCATCCACACAAACACAGATTTAGTTGTTGCTTTTTGTACCGCCTCTTTACAACTTCCAGAAGAATTTCTTGTTCATTCAAGGCTGCTCCTTATTTAGGTGTAGGATTCGAGAGTCTGTCTTTGAAAAGGTTATTGTTAAGTTGACAGTTCTTTTGGTTTGTTTTTTCTATTAGACATATTTTCTTCCTGTATAGAAAATGACAAAGCAGTATGGGAGATATAGCTTACATTCTGATTTCAAAAATTAACTAAAATATACACGAATCTTTAGTAAATAATACTTTCAATTTTATATTTTTTAGATGCTGCTGTTAATTCTGGAGAACTGTGGTTTGTGAACTTTTATTCCCCAGGGTGTTCACACTGCCATGATTTAGCTCCTACAGTATGTATTTTTCACATCCTAATTATTAAGGCATTATTATTCCTAATTTATGTGTAATTTGAATTTTCTTTATTATGCGAGGATTTTTCCTTATAATTATAGATCTAAAATAATTATCAAGTACATTCACATATATTTATATAGATATATATGTGGCTTTACTTATTTTAGAATTTGTAGCTTGAAGAATGCTTTAAGGGAAGGAAATTTAAAGAGAAATACTTAACACATTTTATTTTTTTCTCGTAGTGGAGAGACTTTGCTAAAGAAGTAGATGGATTACTTCGAATTGGAGCTGTTAACTGTGGCGATGATAGAATGCTTTGCCGAATGAAAGGAGTCAACAGTTATCCCAGCCTGTTCATTTTTAGATCTGGAATGGTAAGAAGTTGTTAGCATTTTTTTATAACTTGTAAAACTTTATAATTTGGGAAAACACAGTATAGGACTTTTTACTATTCCCCGTCTTAGGTGAAATCTAAAAGGGTCTAGTCTTAAAAGTTTTGGACTGTATTATCAGTATTTTCGCTGACATTGCTGTGCTGCATTTCAATATTAAATATTTTGCCAATTTTAGCTTCCAAGATAAATAACAACTAACATTCTTTGTGTATTTTTTGGCTTACAAAACATTTTATGGGTAGTGACCTGCTGAATAAAAAGGAATATCCTTTTTATTCCAGTTTTTAGTAATAAAACTAAAAGCTTACAAGTGTTAAAATGTCTTCCACAAAATCTTATAATTCTCAGCTTATCATTTGGAAATAGTGCTATCACAAGATCTTAGTAAAATTTTTTAACTAAAATATGCACAAATAACAGAGTTAGATGTAATTGGTGTTATGTTTGAGTTTTTACAGTAAAAGATGTTTCTTTTTTATTAAAAAAAAAAACAGGCTGCAATAAAATACCATGGTGACAGAAAAAAAGAAAGTTTAGTGAGTTTCGCCATGCAACATGTTAAAAGTACAGTGACAGAATTATGGACAGGTAATGTTATTTTCTTAATTTACCTCATTTCTATTCTCTGAAATTGTTAGTGGTATTAATATCTTGGTCATAATTTGGAAATTTTAAAGTATTTCTTGTGTACTTTTTACAAGAGAATTATGTCCCTGGTTCGAATTTTTTCTAAATAGTGGGCATTTAACAAATAAATTATATTTGTAAAACATTTAAGATTTGGGAAATGGACATGAGATTGAAACAAATGAGAGGCAACTTTAAAAGTGCAACTAATATTTAGTAACCAAGATTTTGCTGTTAAAAATCAGTCAGTAGAAAAAAAAAAAAAATCAGTCAGTAGGCCCTCTCTGGTGGCACAGCAGGTTGGAGTGTAGCACTGAGAGGCTGGGGCCACTTCTGCATGAGCTCGATTCCCGCCTGCCCCAGAGGTGACCACATGGCGTGGCAGACCTCTCCCCTCAGCAGTGTACTTCATAGATCTGCCTTTTCTGCTCCCCACTCTGTCTCTGGTGAAGCCTCTCGCCACCCCTGAGCCTCTGGCCTGTACCTCAGTTCTGTATGCACAAATAGATGGATCCTTTGAAAAAAAAAAAAAAAGTCAGTAAATTCACACCTATTCACTTAAAGTCTTCTAATTTTAGTTTTTAATTTGTCAACAGTTTTAGGCAGGTTGTTTAATTGCACTGTACTAATCATGAAGTAGTCATATTCACATTGAAAAAAATTCTCATATCATTCCTTGAATACCTGTTACGTCTCTGAAACTGTATGAGGCTGCAGTAATAAATGTATAGTACCTGCCTTGAGGAATCTCATTTTATCAAGGAAGATATTAGGAAACTACTAAAAGCCAAGGTATTCACTATTATACATAAGCTTAGTTAGCTAGAACTTAGGTGGGGAGCAGACAGAGCTAAAAAATATTTTTAGAATGCGGTGACACCCAGTCTGTCATAAAAGTGAAGAGGGAGCTTTCAAAGATACCTGTATCAAAGTTACCAAAGATAACTGTAATGGGGTCCACTGGTATGAGGGGAAAATATGGCTAGTTGAGTAGGTAGACAAAGCTTGGCTCAAAAAGGGCCTTGTTTGGTCTCTTTGAGTTTCTTTCTTATAAAGTTATGAATTTAGTTTTATGTGATGTTGAAAATGGAGAGCCAATGAAGGAATTTGACATGCTTGACAGGATTTTTAGGAAATCTGGGTACTATTCATTGAGTTGGAAGGGGATGGAAAAGGAAAAACCATTTAGAAAAACTATTTACATTGTCAAGCAATAGATTATCAAAATTTTGCTTTATTTTTTATTTTAAGGAAATTTTGTTAACTCCATACAAACTGCTTTCGCTGCTGGTATTGGCTGGCTGATCACTTTTTGTTCCAAAGGAGGAGGTAATTTTATTTCTTATTATAATAAAGAACCATGACATTGAAATTCTTGGTGAGAACCTTTTCCCTTTTTTGCCAGCTTTATTGAGATATAAATTGACACAATATTGGTGTATCTATCTTTAAGGTATACAGTGTGTTGATTTGATATGCTTAATATGTTGCCAAATGGTTACCACAATAGCATTAACTAAGGCCGGCATCCTAGCAGGTAATTACCATCTCTTATTTATAGTAAGAACATTTAACATCTACTCTCTTAGCAACTTCAGATATATAATATAGCATTATCAGTGTATTCACCAAATGTACATTAACTACCAGACTTGTTAACCTTATAAATGGAAGTTTATACTTCTTGATGAAGTGATAGTCTTAGGTGTGCTGCCATAAGTGATTACTTAGCACTATAAATGATAATTTATATCCAGGATTAAAATTTTTAATGAATATTTCTGGTTTATTTTTATAAATAAGAGATTTTGAAATTAATTTCCTAAGTTATCATTTATAGTTTTATGGTTGGTTGATGTACAAGTTTCAGCTTACTGAGCTCACAATACCTATGATGGATATACTACAAAAATAGTTACTGGGAGATACAACACTACCCAAATAACATTTTTGGAATTGTGGATTTTTCTTAATGTTTATTACACATATCAAAAAAAAATGTATGTATATTTGCCTCATAAAATTATGCATCTGAACTTTTCCTTCAGTAAATTAAGTTGAAAATTCAGCACCCTCTGTTCCAGAGTACATATTGTAAATCCTATCCAGACATTGAGAGTGATTAAAAATTTGCATCATTATTACAAATTATGCTAATTCATTAATGCATCTTGTTTAATCCAAAATAGATCTTTTCCCCACACTTTTCCCGTCTATACTTCTGTCTTGATGTATTGCCTTACAGCACAGTTCACTCTGAATCTTAGTTTATTATCAAGAGGCTTTGTTTCATTTTGGACTGCTTCATAGATTTCTTTCCAGTACTTATGGGGGGAAAAAAAAAGCTTTAAAATGACATTCTTTTACTTTTACCCCAGGTAGATTGCTGTTACCTTAATAAGCATTCAGTACGCTAGCTCCTTTTCTTCTGAATCTGTTTTGTATTCAGGCATTTATAATGATAAAATTTTCATAAAAATGGAGAAGCAGCTATTCTTAAATTATTTTAAGAATCCTCAACATACTTTTACCAGATGGATTTATTACATTTTACTTCCCCAGATCATAAATTCTCTTAGATAAGGGGGATTTTTGATAAGAAATTTTTGAGAGTAAGTTCTTAAAAGAGATGCTTGACAGAGCATGATTCCTTTTCTCTTTAGCTAAAAATTCTAGGAAGCAAAAGTGAGACATGAAATGAAAAAAACAGATAAGAGGTTGTACGTGTGCATGTAATGAGACTTTCACCTCATTATCAGTATTTACCAGTAAACCTCAAGTATTTGCTTTAAAATCAACATGGTCATTTGGGGAAAATGGCAAAAGAAAATTTAGATTTGTAAAGCTAAAATTA